TCTGAAGACTCGGGCTAGGGTATGTTGAGTGCTTGCCACTACCCTGGCAGTTAATGAAATAAAAAGAGTAAAATAAATTGATCTGATATTGGGCCAAATCATTATGCCTGGGACTATCAAGAGCACCACTACATCAACGGGTATCTGAGGAGATGCAGAAAGGCAGGACTGGGCAGCTCCAGAGATGTCTGACAGCTGAGAGCCGAGGCATTTGATTCCAAAGTGCCAGATGGGCAGGTAGCCATGCCATCAATAAGGCCAAATGGAAATGATAACAGTACAGTTTCACACACCCCTGAATATCTTCCCTTGTTCTTCATCAGCACCCTCAACTTTGGCAGTCATTTTCACGCTAACTAGATTCACAGGTATTTCCATTTAAAATGTGTGAAAATCTACATAAACTTCTAGGTCTGTCCTTCCCCCAACTCTGCTATTACTGTTTAAAGCCACTCCACTGGGTAAAACATGGAGGAGGGTAATTTAAAACAAAAGTTTATTACCTTAACTGAACCAGTGGTAAGATCTGTTTACATAACCCAAGGCAGCTAGAAGTCTACCAGCATCTCTAGCAACGAGAACAAGCTATTAGAAGTCATACATTGGGGAAATTCTCCAGTCAATGTAAAAGGTACTTTATCACCGACTCCTGAAACCTTAGTAGAGTTTAATATTCTGCCTTATATCTTGTTTACTATTATGTTCTGAAGAGTATTGAAAATTCAGTTATTTCTGTCTTAACCAACTCATACAATCCTAAATAATTCATAAAAAGGCAAAACAAAGAAAAGAATGCTACAAAACAAAACAAAACAAAAAACAAAACAAAACAAAACAAAATAAAGCAAATTCAGGCATGCAAAGGACTCTCAGTGCAAAAGACTGGGGAATCATTACGTGAGCACTGCAAGTCCAATATCAACCATGCGCACCCAACTACAGGTGCTTAAGAGCTGCTTTGATGATACCTAAGTGCCAATCTATGAGCACTGGGGCATCTACAGACTCATTTGAACACCATAGTAATAATAACGCTTTGCAATCAAACGTTTTTTTTTGCTGGATTATTTAAGGCTCAATTGCTCCTTGGACACTGTGGCACAGAGTTTAGAAGCCTGATTTGCAGACAGCACCCACGGCTCTCCCTAGTTTCTCAGCATCTCTGAACATCTGATCCTCAGTGTTTTTATCCAAGGCAAGTCAGCAAAAGAACCAGACCTAGGACTCAGACTTCCTAAATTACAGCCCACTGCATTAGCTAGACAGCACGAAGTGCTTGGTGATCTAAGACAGTAACTGAACTCCTAATGTATTAAAAGTAACCCTATGCTTTACTGGGTTCTTTGGTAGATTGAAAATCTATCCACGCCCTAATATTTTGGAAAAGAAAAAGGTGACCTCTTCATTTGAGAAGCAAACCTGCGCAGCATTATCATCTACTCCTACCCCAGCTATCTCTGCAGTCACTTAGCAATTACAAATAATGTATTTTGGCTTTTGTTTATTTGAATGCATTTTGCAGCGTGTTGCAGGTTAACAGTATTAAATGTTTTCTAATGACATTTCAATAAGCGGATGTGGGTGTTACAGTTTTGGAGAGACAGACTTTAAAAATGCAGGCAATCAAATGTGCATTAGCCTAAGCACTCTGGGGAAAGCACTTTCCTTTCTGTACAGGAGAAACAAATCCCACCAATTGTGCAATTTTGCAAGGTCCACCTTCAAACAGGTAACACCTCCAGAAAGCATACAGCCAGCAGAAGGGTAAGGGCCAGGTAGCTGGCTTTGAACTTGTCTCTTCCAAGCTTCATTTCTCCCACCACAGGAGCAGAACTGCGTGATCTGGCAGCGTGAGCTTTATTTTAGATTAAGAGAGCAATTAAATAAAGAAGAGCCAGTCTATTCTCCTCTATATTGGTTTTTATATTGCCCTCATGACTGGAGTGCCTGAGCGCCTTCCAACAGTGCATTAAGAGACGTCACTAATCTTTGTCATGTGTCTCTCTCTCTTGTCCTCTTCCCCAGGAGAAGTCACAGACCTTAACAGCAGATACCCTGCTGTTCCCATCTCTTTGGCCTCTGGATACCCTCAATAGCTAGCAACAGCTGCCTAAAAGCTCTTCTTCTAAATGTACAGAAGGCAGAAAGGCTGCACCCAATCCCGTCACACTCAGATGTACCCACATCAAGCCATGCACTGGTGACTGCAATGTCCCAATCCATACCTATATGTCATATAAAAGGAGCCATCACAAAGAGCTTTAACAAAGATTGTAATGCCCCAGAACTCTCCGTTTTGGCCCCTGGTTCACCAGGGGATGTCATGTAATAACTGGATCTGTCATCCACAAGGCCAGCAGGAGATTGGTCTAACTTACATCTCCTGAGGGGCAGCTTTACTTTGCTTGACTCTGGCCTCCTACACCACAGCTACTTTCCTCTGGGATGCAGAACATCTGCCCCAATTTGCTTGTGTAGCAGACAGAGCTCCCTTGGCAACTGTCAATCCATGGATGACACCATGCAAAGCCTCTGACAAGCATGAGCCTCAGCACCTTCGGAAAGAGATGTACAATACACTGCAGCCTTGCCTGCCCAGAACAGCATCAACGCTGTGCATGCAAAAAAAGAAAATAGGAAAGTGCACAATTTAGCATATCCCTGGCAGAGGAAGGACTGAGGTGCTGACCTGAGACTCTACATGCCTTACTTGGCGACAAGTCATTGTGTGAGGTTGGACAAGTTACTTAGCATCTCATTCCCATCTCTAGAATGAGGATAGTAGCACTGACCTGCCTAGAATTAACATATCCAAGACTATGATCTGATCCAATGTTAGATAAAAAGGGGCCATAACTAAGCTAGAGAGCTACAGAGTGGTAACAATTTCAGGAGACAGAGTACCATAGGATCTGGGTCGGGTTTGGGTTTTTTTTGGAGGGGGAGTTCGGGGGGCAGACTGCTTATTTGTTTGTTTAAAAAACAAATGCTGTGTTGAAACCTATAGCATGGCTAAAATAAAACAAGCCGCAGAAAGGATCTCATTTTCTCAAGTGTGCCAGTGCCCCTCTGGCTGCATCTGTATTCAGTTCCACAACACACTTCTGAAATGCTGTGTCTAACCTCATGAAGGCTTTTTTTATATTTATTACATTTAGAGTCTCCTAAGCTGGCCCTGTAGCTTTGGCTGTGGGTGGTGACAGGGTTGTCTCAGCAGCCAAGCAAACAATAAGCCCAACCAATTTTGCCGCTACTAGAACATGCAGCCTGGTGCAACAAACCCACCTGGTATCATCAGGGCACAACAGGGTCACTGAGCCACACTGGACCGTGGGATGTATCTGATAATCCCTTTGTTAGACGGGTGTAACACCTTTGGTATAGGAAGAATAAAGTTTGGCCTAATTAAAGCCTCTGTGCTGACACCCAACCGAGGTGGGAAAGTTGCACATCTTGTGGTGCTATTGTTTCTGTCTATCAGGATGCAGAACTCAACAGCTGTCTCTGCACTGCCAGGCAAGTGTAGCGGTGTGCCACAAGCAGCACAGCTCCAGCAGTATTATCATCAGCATTATTATTTATAATGCAGAAGTGCCTATGGCCCACCTTCCTAGACCAGGGCATCATTGTGCTGGGTACTGCAAAAAAACAAAGCAAAAAGATGACCTCTGCCATGAGGTTGGTAACCCATGGCATAAAAGGAGAGATGAGATCTCCATCTGCATTACAGCTTCCACCAGAACCACCATGTTACACAAATAGGGTTGCAGCTACTAAGCTTTCCAACACAGCAAAACTATCTGTCTGTTAGATCATGCTGTGAAGGCTCTTAAACTCGTCTGGAATAGAAGGCTTCAGACCATCTATTTTTATAGAAACCGATGCAAGAGAAAAATATAGTAAAATCCATAAAAAGCCGCAACTCTGCAGGCCACCTACACATTCTGGTGCCTTGCTCTACTTGCAAATCACATGACTACTAAACAGAATCGGTAAGCACGTGGAATTAAAAAACCTGGTTACCTGAGAGCAAAGAGCTACAGCTTTATTCCTGGCACCCACACACGCATCGTCTCTACCCTAGAGAAAGGTGCCTCGGTTTCCCCATGGCTCTGTGTGCCTCAGTTTCCCCATCTCTCTCTGAAATGGGCACTATCATTACTTACCTCCCTGTAGACCAGGGGTAGACAATCCCTGGCATGTGTGCCAGAGCATGACACGCAATACTGTTTTACTTGGCACTCATGCCTTGGGGAAGGGGCTGGGGCTGCACTGCCACAACAAGAATAGGGGCCCTCGCAGCTCCCCCGCCATCTGCCCCTGGCACGCCAACATCTTACAAGTCGTGGGGCTGTGGGTGTTTTTGGCACTTGGCCCAAAAACATTGCTGACCCCTGCTGTAGATGATAGGTTAGGGAGGGCATTGCTTGCGAAGTAATCCAAAGCTGAAAAGCTCCAGCTAAAAGGTTAATCTGTGTTAGTCAACAGCCTGCCCTTCTAAGGGAGCGACCTGCAAGCACTATGAAGTAAGCGAGGATCGGGCTAAGTGACAGAGGTTGGACTCAGGCTAAATGACAGCAAGCCTGACATTAAGGATTGAGTCGCTACAGAGGGGATGTGCTACACAAAGCACAGAGGTGCTAGCACGAACCACAGCAGCAGCAGAATCAGAGGCTCAGGAAGGGAGTCCCCCCTTCGAAGCCGAGATCAGTTAGAGGCCCAAGGTGGAAACAAGCATGAGCAAGCAGCCAGGCAAGCAGTGGCTCAGTTCTCTCTCTTTCCATAAAGCATTGCAAGCTCAGTGCCCTGCACTGTAGGTGAGTGAGAAAAAGGAAAGCAAGGCCATACAGGCAATGGCTGCCATCCAGCACCACTGCAATCAGCTGCCTCCTTGCTCAACCATCACCTCTTAATGACCCCCCAGTTACTCGAGGAGAAGCCGCACAACCCACTAATGTTTGCAGGAAGGGAGGGGCTAAGTAAGAAGGCAAAATGCAAACCTTTCTTCTCGTAGTCAGGCCTCTCCTCCCCGCCCCTGCCTAGGCTCTCCAGAGTCCGGGTCACTTGGCTGCCAAACTCATCCTCCCGGGTGCTGGACTCTGCCCGCCGTGGGTTCTCATCCTCGTCCTCGTCCTCATAGTCATCCAGAATAGGGGTCTCGCGGATGGGCATGCCGATGACAGAGTTGTGGGCTTGCAGGCGGGAGTTGCGGAAGCTCTCCCGGGCCTGCGGCCCCAGCAGCACTGAAGGGATGTAGTGGATCTCGTGGGTGGCCTCGGTGCTTGCGCTCTTCTGGGGGATCCGGCGACGCTTGTGCCAGCGCCTCTGGGCATACAGCGCTACTGTGAACACCAGCAGGAGCAACAGCAGAGCAATCAGGCCGCCCTAAAGCAAAACAAAATAATAGGAATTAACGGGGGCTCTGAACCTACATCACTGCCCTGTCCCAATCCACAGGGGACAATGACAGCAGCACGCAGGAGACCCATCCTCCCACCCCATTTCTGGAGCACCCTTTCAAGCCAGAGGAGCATACAGCACTTTGCGCACTGCATGCTGTTGGGGAAATGCTTCCCTACTCCTGAAAAGCAGCCACCTCTGGGGTGAAGACAGGAGCCAGGAATCTAAAGTGCACAGGGCACAGAGAGGGGATGTTCAGCCAAGGACAAGTGATAACTCTGTAGTCTAAAAGGGGTGAAAGAAGTTTGAGGTCCCAGCAGGACAGCATATTGTCAAAAGATTTCATCTGAAAGACTGTCTCACTTCAAACTGCAACACACACCACTAAGCTGCCATGGGACACAGGTCACGTTACTACAACTCCAGCCATCTACTCTGGCCACAGTCACAAGTGCTCCTACTCAAGCCAAGACACAACAGAACAATAATCTAGGAGTACAGCAAGACAAAGCTGTGGCAAAATGCCAAACTTAGAGCAAGCCCCCAAATCAGATGTACGACCACTGCTCTACAGCACGCTGCCTAGCGGGGTTGCACTGGGGAGATCACCTCAGCTGTTTCTCTGGTTCCAATCACTTCATCAGCCAAATCCTTCACATTCCTTCATATATTTAACCCCATGCCATCCTATCAGGCAGGGCCATACCAGCCACTCCACTGATAAACTGAAACACAGAGGCAAGGGGAAGTCTCTCTACCCTGCAAAAAAAAAAATGTTGACTTTTCAGCTCTTAACTAAAACAGCAAGGAAGGCAAGGAAGCCTGGGTTTTAACTTAGTTAGCAGCTCAAGTTCAAGCTGATAGAGTAAAGCTGGAGTTGAACTGTGGTATCTACCCAGGGGTTAAACACTTCGGTTCACCACTATTTTAAGGCAAGGTTGCTAACCCAGTGCAAAAACACAGTCTCTTTTTGCAGCATAAACGTGTCCACAGTGACTTGCTCAGGGCACCCAAGGGGTATGAACACACCATGACTGTGAAGCATGCCATACTTGATCTTCAGGTGCTAAGGCCCCAAATGGAGATAACATAGCCACCCCACAGCAGTACTAAGCTTCTGCTGATAAGCAAGGCCAACACAGTAAGCTTACTGTCACAGGTCACACACTGCTAAGGTGAATGGAGCAGGCATGTGTTGCTTCCCTGTGCTACTCCCCTCCCCAGAGTGGCCAGGAGGCATCCATATGTCCTCACACAAGCCCAGAAAGTCTGTAGTAGAGCAGGGAATTGAACTCAGCTCATGATGTGGCATGCTAACCACTGAGGTACCCGACCACCATGTCATCCTTCCTGCAGTTGGTCCCCGCACTACACAGAGACCCTCCTGAGCAGTTCATGGGCCTCATTTTTCTCTCTCCAAGCCAACAATGAGGTCACACAGGGCAGGTACAGCTGGTGAACCCAGCTCTCCTGCTTCCCATTTCAGTATCTTAGCCATAAAGCAACTCCTTCAAAACTAGATCATGTGTAACCCGCTGACAGCACACACTATCTATGCCACTGCTTTTAGGAGCAGTGGGATAAATTAGTGTAGCTTGCTCCTAAGGCAGGCCATTGCTTGCAACCCAGCCACTGTCAGTCCTCACAGCTGCCAATGTGTTGCAACCCCAAATGCTGTTTGCCCCACCACTGAACTGCCACTGATATCCCCCATTACCAAACTGCTGCCAACATCTTGGCTTCATGGACCAGGTGGTACTGCTAGGTAGGCCAGATGCAGCTTGCAAGTCACAAGTTGGCAACCCCTCGTCTATGGGAAAAAATAAAGGTCTTCCTGGTGTAGTTACATCTCTAGCATTAGTCGTTAAGTCATGTGGAGAAGGCAGGACCAAAGAAAACATACGCCACCACTCCCCATGACACACTTATTCTAGAGGTAAATACCAGCATTCTCTCTGAAGCCGAGAGGAGACGTGTGCTTGGCATTTTGAAGCCGCTCCGAATCTCTCTGCAGTTCACAGACAATTTCAAACTGTGGCGGACAAGTAAGCCAGGGTATGTAAATCTGGAGTGGCGTGAACAATCGAGGCTTTGCAGCGTGACGTGTAACTGCCAGAGGTAGGGGGGACCGTTCTTTCAGAAGAAGTATGCCCAAATCCAAGAACTTTAAATAGCGTGGAAAAGACTAACACATATTTCATCTGCATTCCATGCAAAAGCACTGCACGTGCATGGAGAGGATCTGAGACTCAAGAAGGATAATCTATAAAAAGCTAGTGTCTAAAAACACGATTCACGAGAGGAGTTCGCCTGGGAGGCAGCCAGTCAGCCAATGGCAGCTGGATGGATTCGGCTGAGCTGCTCGCTGCGCTCGCAGAGTGCAGTCTTTGCATGCGTTGTGAGCAGGTTCCATCATAATTCAGTCACGCTCAACTTAGAAAGGCACTGAGGAATACGCGCCAGAGCACAGGAAGCAGATGGCAAGATACTGTGTACAGCCACAAGCCCCACACACTCATGCATGGCAGATCTCTGGAGGGCACGCACACCCCCTGCACACTCGCTTGCAGTACGGAGGTGTCACTCCCGCACCCACAAATTCATGTTCTCATATGCATGGTGTAAATGTCCTGTAGGTGGGGAACTGTCCCTTCAAGAGGTACTTGTAAAGCCAGTCAGAGCCAGCCATACTGTGGCTCAGAGGTTCACATTATACAATCCCGATCACAACTCAAGCCATTAAATAAAACAGTCCCGAGTCAGACACCTTGACTCTGAGAAACTGTAGAACACCACACTTCACTCAGTAACCCATGTGGAGGACCTCTGGAAAACACCCAAAGAGCATGTGTATGGTGGATGGCGCTTGTACTGTTCATCATATCCAACAAGTCGTTTGAGCCCATGTACACCTGCAGGAGAAAGGTCCATTCACAGCTCACGAGATTTGCACCTCCACAAGCTGCTGATTTCTGGAGCCCTGTGCAATGGAAATTCTACTTGTCCCTGAGCTGGCAAGAGAAATAGAAGGCCAGGGTCCCTTTTAGGACAGAGACTGAGATTACCAAGCTCCTGTTCAAAGCCATGGGATGCAGAAAAGCGCCAGGAAGTGTTGGTTTGGCTGGGAAGGGTGTGAAACAGCTGTCACTGGCCACTCAACTGTTGGAGGTTCTACCCACATGAAGGGGGTCTACCACACATAGATCTTGCCATGACTCCAGCAGCCACTTGCCTGAAGCAAGGAGGTGGTGGGGAAAGAAGGGAACAGCGGGGGGATAGCTTCCCCGGCCCAGCCCAGCTGCAGAGGCCTCCAATTTTCTATAGAGAATGACTTGGCAAATGCAATATGGCATCTCTCATTAGGATTCCCTCCCTTCTCCCCTCTCCAGCCTCATCTGTTTTCTCATTTGGTCCCATAATTGACACTAATAGGAAGAAGGGCTCAGGGAGGCGGAATGACTTTGCTCAGTTCAACTTTCCCAATTTAGCTGACAGCTTCTGTCAAGAAACATAACACTTTAGTGGCCAGGCGAGGCTCTGGGAGTTCCGACTGGGAGATGGGCACACCAGGGGAGCACTACCGACTTCATCATCGTCGTTACTATTTGTTTAACTGTAGCTCCTAAGAGGATTGTCACAGACCAGGAGCCCAGTGTGCCAAGCACTGTGGATGCCTCTTCCTTGCTTAAAATCAAGGGAGACTAAAGGCCTTCAAGTTTTAAAGAAAGGAAATCAATTTTCTGCTGTGTCTGTGCAGCAGTGAGGGATGATAAAGTTCTGGGCAATACTACACAATGAGCAGCAATGTGTACTGGGCTAGATTTCTGCAAAGTCATTTGTAAGAACAAGGAGTTTACATCTTTGGACTTGCTACAAAGTCACCTGCAACATCTCACCAATTTAACCAGGTAGCTAAATGGATTCCCATGGCATGACCTGCAGCAATAGCAGGGCAGTGACACTGTGAAGAACTCCAGACATACAAGCTCCACGTTGCACAAGACAGAAACCCTGTGTATCCTATGGTCATACAGATGCAACAGTGGTATCCTGTGAATACTTCTAGAGTCCTTCCCACTGAACTGTCGGCCTATAGTATCACACAGTTTTTCTGCAGCAGCTCTCAGCCTACAGGCTCAGAGTGGCCCCTAATGTGCAATGCTCATTCAGTCAGTTAGGATAGGCAGGTCAGGAGGCAGGAAAGGAGGGGACACTTTTCTGGTAAATAAAGCAGAGCTGTGAATTGCCTGAGATGGGAGGGAATTGTCAAAATACAGAGCTCCCCTAACCCTTCAGTCCCATAACCAGCCTAAAGCATGGAAAGCCTAATACAGCTAGCGTTAACCTAGGTCTTCACCTCATGGCCTTGTTCTGAAGCATCTTCCATTATCTTCTCATTTCAATCTGGCGATCTTGCATGGCAGTTCAGGAAATGCACAGAAGGCGCTTTCCATTACCCCAGCTCTGCGTAACAGCATGTGCATGTCTAAATGCTGGTCCTGGAAATCTCCAACCTGCCCCCCCGGCTTTCCCTCCCCACTCCCACATGCACACACAGACAATGACAGTTATTAGCTTAAGAGAAAAGGTATCATCTGATCAGAACCCAGCTTTCCAGTTCCTTGGATGGAAAACTAAGCTGGGAAGCTAGGAATGGGGCTACTAAGGATGATTTAGGCTAGCAAAGGCTCTGGACTGCTCAGTTCCATACCAAAGCCTACTTTGTATTAGGGTTTCCCACTCTACCAGAAAATCCTCTAGGTGCAAGTATGGCTTTTGCCAGAGAGAAAAAAAAAAAGTTATTTTGCTAGTTTAGTTTGTGCCAAGCTCTCTGAATGGACTTCCAGTAGTGTCCACACTGGGGTTTGCCCTGGTATAGAAAGGCCTTCAGAAAAATAACTTATCTACATCACCCAAAATTACTAGATAAGCAAAAAAAATAAGTGTAGATATTCCTCCCTCACTCGCACATACCTAGAGCATTA